ATATTATCAAATTATATTAAATGTTTCTCAGTATTAACCTCAATTAAATAATGCAAAATTGGTCAGTTTGTTTACCATTCAAAAGAATAACAGTAATAAACTTATCTATAAATCTTCTGCTATATCTTAACCGACATAAACTTAACACCTTATACCATGACATTTGTTATGTGCCGAAATTTGGTAAAACAAAGATTTGTCTTAATATTTCCTATTTTCGCACCATAGTAAATGAAGTTACGAGGTGTGGCAATTAAATAACGAGAATTTTAAATTTTAAAACATTTATTTAATATTTACAATGATGCCTTCACAGTACTCTCCTTCGAGCCTAACACATTTGGTCCAGCGTTCTTCCATTTCTGGAAGCACCCCTGGAAGTCTCCAGAAGTTAGGTTCTTCAACACCGACGTTACGGCACGTTTAATGTCCTCCAAATCCTTATAGCGATGTCCTTTCATTGGTTACTTCAACTTTGGAAATAGCCAGAAGTCCAGTGGAGCCAGATCAGGGCTGTACGGGGGAGCATTGTTATGTTCCTACTGGTCAAAACCTGTTGAACTTTTAATGAGGTGTGAGCAGGCGCATTGTCATGGTGAAGGCTCCAACCATTTTTGGCTAATTCCGGCCTCACACGAGACACTCTTTGACACAATCGCTGAAGAACTTCAATGTAAAATACCGAAGTCACCGTTTGTCCTTGAGGAAGAAATTCTCGGTGCACAATACCCGTTTTATCGAAGAAACAGACCTTGCATCGTCTTGCGTTGATTCTCGGCCTGATGCAAAACGTTTGGCCCATTCGTACACACGTGGTTTTGATAAACAGTCATTACCGAACACCCGTTGCAATTTACGAAAAATTTTGGCCGGTTTTTCGCCAGATTTCACTAGAAACTTGATGACAATTCGTTGCTCTTTTTTCACGTCACACATTTTTGTACGTCACGACAGTACACTACTAACTTTAAAAAATCGCAGAGCACAAAATATTACACCGATCACTATCAAACTTGGCAGAGTTGTGTATAATCTCGTGAACTTTATGTTAAAAATTTTTCAAGATGTCAGTATTACCACTATAGGAGCTAGAAATAAATTCTCGTTATTTAATTGCCACACCTCGTATATCACACAAATCAATTGTTACAGTACTCACCTCCTGTAAATTATCTAACCATAATTATGTGGCCATTATTCGAAGTCATTTTAATCATTTATTTTATAGCAAATTACGAATTCCTATCCGAAGTATATTCTATTCACCGCGCCGTGTCGCTATGAAATTATGATGTGGCCCGAGAGCCGCCGAAAAAGGGACGATACGAGAAGAGAAATCCCAAATCACACCCTAATTTATCTCTCTTGACCATTATAGGGCACTATGAGGGACGAACCTAGGGACAGAGACGTGGAAAATAGTTTTTCCAATTAGAAAAAACTCATACGAAATAATGCGATAAAGGAAACTCATCGGATAGTTAAATAAGTTAGTCCAAAATGTATGATACTTTTTGTCCGCTAGAAGTATTGTACAAGGGGGATGAAAGTTGTGAAGTCTTATAAACTAGCAACCAGTGGGACCCAGTGGGACCCATCGGCCCTTCAATTGGTATTTTATGTTGGAATGTCAGATATGTTGCGAAGTAAAATATTTATTGTGCTCTCTTCTGTTGATAAGCGGCATGATAATCAACCCTTTTAATCATATCTTCCAGCCTGGAACGATCGCCCTCTTCTATCTGGTATGCTCCTAAATATAGTGGTATAGAGCCCTTGAAATCTGTAGTGCCACACATTTCGTCATAATGCAATAGACATTTTCTCCTCACAAAATCTGAATTAACTGTCTTCTGTTCGAGTTTATAAGGTGTCTTTTGAATCCGTAATGCTCGATAAGAATCCCCGTTACCATGCGTAGCTTGTTCTTGCTCATATAGATACAGGATTTGGATCTTTTCTTGTAATAAGTCACTCAGAAGTTTCTTAGCCTGTTATACAGGGTGTATCTAAATAACACCGAAAAAATAAAGGGGTGATTCTGTGATGAAAATTAATGTGAGTGTTTGGTATAAAATTTTTTGAAAAAACCCTCCCCGGAAAAGTTACACCCCTTCAAAAATTAAAAAAAATTATGGTTTTTCTTTTTTATTTTCCCTGTATATCAAGCTAAAGACACGAAACTTGGTAAACATTATCTGTCAATAAAAGTACACTTTTTGAAAATTTTTTCTTTAAAAAAGTATGACTGAAAAGCCCAATTCATTAACTCTACAAGTTTTTTCTAAAACTTGAGCATTTACGAGAAAAAAAATCTAATGCAATGCATTTTCAAAAAGATGAGCTAACGCGAGTGTATTTTGCGTCAAGTCTAGTGGCCTGTGCTTTGCATAAAAACATTAATACTGATACCAGGATTGTGTAGTGTCATTTTCTGTTACCCATCTTATTGTTTCACAAGTTTTATGATTGTGTATTGTAGGAAATATTAGTTGATTGAAAATATGAATGCATATTCGAATTTGGAAATGGCAGATATGCATTTTACATACGGTCGTGCTAACGGTAATTCATTGGAAGCGCAAAGACTTTATGCTGAACAGTACCCACAGCGTAGACTACCCCATCATACTACGTTCACAACTATTCACCGACGCTTGCGGGAACGTGGTAATTTTGAAAAAAGAAGTTATGATTCTGGTCGTACTAGAGAAGTTAGAACTGCAGCTGTAGAAGAAGCCGTACTTAATTCAATTGAAGAATTCCCAGAAACTAGTACAAGGCGAATAGCTCGTGTCCTACATGTAAGCCATTCCATTGTTTTTAGAATTTTAAAAGAACAAATGTTGTATTCCTATCATCTTCAACGGGTGCAGGCGTTAATGATTCGAGATTTTTTACCCCGTGTGATTTTTTGTCAGTGGCTTATTACTATGATTGGCCAAGCATCACAGTTCTTAGGTAATATTTTATTTACTGACGAGGCGAGTTTCTCAAGAGACTGTATTAGAAATTTTCACAACAATCACCTTTGGGCTGACGAAAATCCTTATGGCTTTTTTGAAGGAAATCATCAGTATCAATTTTCATTAACGTGTGGCTCGGAATTATTGATAATCATTTAATTGGTCCCCATTTTCTTCCGCTACGATTAAATGGTGAAGCATATTGTCATCTCCTTGAAGAATTACCTGTTCTTCTTGAAGAGGTTCCCATTCAAATTAGGCAACATTTATGGTTTATGCTCGATGGTGCACCAGCTCATTTTAGTATACGTGCAAGAACTCACCTGGGTGAGGTGTATGCCAATCAATGGATAGGTCGAGGAGAACCTGTAAACTGGCCAACCCGCTCCCCTGACCTTAATCCTTTGGATATTTGCATATGGGGATATCTGAAATCTTTGATATACACAAACCCCGTTGAAAATATCGATGATCTGCGAAACCGCATTGTAGCAGGGTGTGAAACTATAAGAAATTCTCCAGGAATATTTCATCGTATACGCAATTCTATGAGGAAAAGGGTAGATGCTTGTATTGAAGCCGAAGGCGGTCATTTTCAACATTTATTATAATTGTATTGTCGATATTCGACAGGTTTTTGTTAATTGTTTGTTCACTTTTGTTTTTAGTTGTAGAAGTCTTAAGAATCATAATTTGGTTGGCTATTTTACATGAGCTTATTTATTTTTTTCTCATAAATGCTTAAGTTTTTGAAAAAAACTTGTAGAGATAAAAAAGTTAGTCAATGAATTGGGCTTTTCAGTCATACTTTTTTAAAGAAAAAATTTTCATCTAAAAAAAGTTGTAAGAAAAAATATCTTAGGGGTTGATTATTTTAACCCCTTCTAAGCATACTTCAGGGTTGAAAAAATTTCAAAAAGTGTACTTTTATTGACAGATAATGTTTACCAAGTTTCGTGTCTTTAGCTTGATATACAGGGAAAATAAAAAAAAAAAACCATTTTTTTTTAATTTTCGAAGGGGTGTAACTTTTCCGGGGAGGGTTTTTTCAAAAAATTTTATACCAAACACTCACATTAATTTTCATCACAGAATCACCCCTTTAATTTTTTCGGTGTTATTTAGATACACCCTGTATGTTCAAAATAAATATGTATACCATGCAGGCCCAATAGTTTTTATAATCCAAGTAAAACAATATCCCTGAGGTCAATTAAGTAAGTACGAATATATTAAAAATTGAAGAGTCTCATAAATATATTAAATGTCAATCTAAAAGTAGAAAGTCTAATTAAATTGCAAAATAATAAGAGATAAATCAATAACCAATATAAAGTATAAAAACTATAAAAATAATACAATATTTGTACCTACTTACGTCAAATTGTGTTAACAATATTGAATCGTATATTCTTGTCGAAATTCCAGTGAGTACGTCCATGCCGGATCGTTCCGGAGGGCATTTGGCAATTTTGTGGAATATAGTTCGGACCCGGGCCACTCGATGTCGGCTTACGGGGCGGCCGAGGGAGCGGGCGGAAGCGGCCGACGGGCCCAACGCAACAGCGGGTGAGGAGATCGTTTCCGCTATTAGCATTTCCCAATGCGGCAGATGTGTCCGCCGACGCCCCTCCGCCCGCGCCCCCTTCGGCGCTAAGGGGCGGATTACCGCCAGTCACGGAATAGTGTGAACTTTCTACTGCCGGAGCACCGGAGAATATACTAAAAAAGGAAAAAGAGTGCAATAATAAAAAACAAATTCCTAGAAACCTGAAACTAAATAACAATCAACTCTTTGGTTGAATTTAATTGAAAATTAGTGAAATTAAATATAAATGTATGTACAGTTTGAATTGAAGCTCAAACGGCTGTCGAGATATTTAACAATTAGATTTTCGAAAATTTGCCTAATATTTTTTTTTTTGGAAAAAAATCTTTATTGTTTTTTTTTTGTGTTTTGGCCTTTGGACTCTGTTTCTTGGACTATAGATTTTGAGCTGTAACTCTAGCTTGCCTAGGTTGTAAAACTAGGTTTTAAAATAAGGTTGCAAAAGTAGGTTGTAAAGATAGGTTGTGAGACAGCGTTGCAAAACTATGTTGTGACACTAGTTTGTAAAACAATTGTGTAAAATTAGGTTGGACTCTGGACCTTGGACTCTGGACCTTGGACTCTGGACCTTGGACTCTGGACCTTGGACTCTGGTCCTTGGACTCTGGACCTTGGACTCTGAACCTTGGACTCTGGACCTTGGACTCTGGACCTTGGACTCTGGACCTTGGACTCTGGACCTTGGATTCTGGACCTTGGACTCTGGACCTTGGACTCTGGACCTTGGACTCTGGACCTTGGACTCTGGACCTTGGACTCTGGACCTTGGACTCTGGACCTTGGACTCTGGACCTTGGACTCTGGACCTTGGACTCTGGACCTTGGACTCTGGACCTTGGACTCTGGACCTTGGACTCTGGACCTTGGACTCTGGACCTTGGACTCTGGACCTTGGACTCTGGACCTTGGACTCTGGACCTTGAACTCTGGACCTTGGACTCTGGACCTTGGACTCTGGACCTTGGACTCTGGACCTTGGACTCTGGACCTTGGACTCTGGACCTTGGACTCTGGACCTTGGACTCTGGACCTTGGACTCTGGACCTTGGACTCTGGACCTTGGACTCTGGACCTTGGACTCTGGACCTTGGACTCTGGACCTTGGACTTCATTTTTTCATTTATATTTTTTCGAAAGCTTTTTCATAAAAATTGTTTTAACAGAACTTTTTTTTTATTAGCTTTTTACGTTGGAGTGTAGACACCTTTTTTCTAAAACTCGCAGATTAATTTTAGAAATTTTGAGATATTGCAATATTTTGAAATGTATTCTTTTGTTTTATTTACTTCAATACATTAAGGCCGCCATTTTAGTGTATTTTATATGGTCTAAACAGAGGTTTACAATTATTAACAGAACTTATCTTACACTGGGTGGATTTTAGTGAAACTTTGACAGCTTATGTTTAATGTTTAATGATTGAAGTCCTTTTAATTATTAAATTCTATTAAAAAATATAAAAAACTGATAGTCACAAATGCAGTTCAAAAAACTTTACAGCATTATACATATTTTTTTAAATTTTCCTGCTAAATTTTAATAATCAATGTACTTTTTAATCTGTGTACACATTACGATTTCATGTAAAATTGATAATTTTGCTGCTTCCATATTAAATTTTAGTTTAGGACCTAAATTATAGGTGTCGGATGAAGCTAAAGTAGCAAAAGTTTCGGCACCGTGTTGTCATATCTTAAAATTGTCTTGAATTTAGAGGAAACTATATTATTATGCATATTTACAATTAACACAAATATAAATTATATAAACAGGAAGACTCATTTTTTAAAGTTTTCTTATTAAGATAATTTTTTAATAAAATTTGGTGCTTTGTCTAAAATCAAATACTAAAAACTAAAATTTAAAATAAATGCCTTTATAAGAGGAAAATCAAAAATGCACCAAGAGTAAAGTGCCCTTATTTACACTTTGCTAATTTAATACACTCATATAAAATCACAAAATACTCATTTAAAACGCGTATGAAAAGATTTGTAAAAAAATTGGTTAAGTATGTAATTTTTTTAATGTATGCCGAGTTTTTTCTGTAAATAAAGTGTGAAATCGACAAAAGTGTTGTTTGGTGCAACTGTCAAAAAATTTCCACACTAATCACCACCTATTGACTACATAGATGGAAAACAAAATTTTTTTTAGTGTGTCTTGAAAGTATTTGGAGAAAAACCAATTGTCAGATTGACCAATAAACGCTGGCTTGGAAATTTCAGGAGGTTGTAAAGATAGGTTGTAAAACAGTGTTGCAAAACTATGTTGTGACAGTAGGTTGTAATACTAGGTTATAAAACTGTGGTGTAAAATTAGGTTGGACTTTGAACCTTGAAATTTGGACTGTGATTCTTCGAGTTTACTTTTTAGACGTTGGACCTTTGATTTCAAACATTTTTATCATCGAAATCTTTTTCATAAAAATTCTTGGACTGTGGACTCTGGACCTTTGGAATTTAGTCTTTGAACTCTGCACTCTGCAAATGTGTCGCCAACCTAATTATTTTTCGTATTAATTGCATTTGTGTAAAATTCTGAAGACGATCAGATTATACATAGTTGGTCAGTAAAATACTTGTGTTGGTCAACTATGCAAAATAAAAATATTTTTGAAACAAAAAAAATATTTTTGAATAAGCAAAATATATTTAACTTAATTATTTGTTTACTCATATTTTACATTTTTTTTATTAAACTTATTAAAACAAATCCCATAATTATTTGGCATGTAATATTGCAATCATGGTTTTAAGTTCCAATATACAGGGTGTTGCCGAATGTTGTGAAGAAAATTTAATGACAGATTCTAAATCTAAAAATAAGAAAAAACGTTCATGTAAACATGTGCCCGGAAATGCTCCGTTTTCATGATACGGGGTGTTGAGATATTGAAATGAGTTTTGGTACCTTCAAATATATCATGAAAGGTCACATTTACATGTAGAAAATTGTTTTCTAAAGCACTTACATCAGTAGCGTTCGTGCCAGTATGTCTTTATGTTTAACGAAAAAACTGTTTTTAGCACTGGTTTTCGTAAAAATTAGTGTCACTTTCTGAAACTTAGATTAATTCTGCTTGGAAAGTTCCTCTTGTACTTTTTCCTTATGACCCATGTTTTTTATGAAATTTTTTCGTATTTTTAGATGTAGAATTTGTTATTAAATTTTCTTCACAACTTGTGCTGACTGGATAAGTCCTGTTAGATTGAAGTCTGGCTGTCATTTTTATTAATAATCTATTATAAATAAAATATCTTAAGAAGTTTCAGCTTTGGAACACCACTTATACTGACCTAATTGTTACTGAATGATAGCAGTTATAATTATTAACGTAAAGACTAGAAATGATAAAAATGTGAACTGTGGTAGAAGTTTTATAATGCTTCAATTTTTGATACCTTTCAAGGTGTTCTCCCGTATAAGGTGTCACCGCAAATAAAACTGCTAACTATAAAATATTTACACACACTCTAAATAATAGTACATTACATACGGGGTGGGAAAGTACTCTATAACAGCCGAGCTTCAAGATAGATAAAAAAGCTACAGACGCGATGTTAGAATGAGCTCCTCGAGGTATGTATACGATTTTATTCACAATCTGCTATTAATATTTTTATATAAGTTTCAAACAATAATTTTTGTATTAATTTCTATCATAATTTGATAAATTCGTTTTTGTCGAAGATACCTATAAAATCAGTTGCTAGGTAATATAACAAGTTTTTTTATACTTACGAATATGTCCGACCGTTAACTTGAATGTACCCACCAGATTTACGATTAGCTGCAGAATTAGCTACCTAAGGGCAGGAAGAGATACGAAAACAGTTACGAAGCATATAATAAGTGACATTTGCAGATAAAGAAGTGACACTTTCTAGTTGGAAAGTTACTTTATTGGCTACCTGTGAAATGAAGTAAGCAATTAGATGCTTCCCGACTGTTCTGAAGGATTTACATCTAGCACCCAATTGCGAGTAAAAACTACTATTTAATTGTTAGCCTTGATAACACTCTTTCACTTTTTTGTTACGGGCTATCTATTAGAACAATTTTTGCTATTATACGCCGACACTCGAACGGCAGATATAATTATTAAAATATTATAGACAGTTTCTAGACACTTTGAAACACACTATACATAACAATTTTGGGTCCGCTGACACTAAAAAATTTTTTTTACCTTAAAATCCTTAAAATTTGTTGTCGGGTCTCCATCATAAAACAAATGTGAAATTAACCATTTTCACTGATTTCTTGTTGTAGAAACGGCTAAATATCAATATTAGACCATTCATAGAGCAATAAACCATACCAAATTTTTTCATAAACGATCAAATTTTCTTATTTTTCATTTTTAGTTTGTTAGGAAAACAAATATACAATAAATTCTACAAGAAATTAATCAAAATGATGTAGTTCAAATTTTTTCAACATCGAAATTGGAGTTCTCATTTAAATAGTTTTAAGGTAAGAAAAAAATATTTTATAGTGTTTGAGGGCAAAAAAAGTATTTTGAAATGTGTTTCAAAAGGTCTAAAATCGTTAAAAAAAAAAAGTAGCCCGTTCGACCGTTGGCGGATTTTTCCCAATTTTTTAATTCAATGATCGTATAATCTTCAAAAATTGTTATCCTGTAAGAAAACACGCATTTCGTTGGTTAAAATACATAGATGTAAAAATTTCTCAGGAATTCCCAACTTTTCTATGACTTAGATATAATTTGGTTCTTGGTAGAGTGTTAACGGTCAAGATAACATTTTTCTTTTATTTTTCATTATTAAAAACAAAAGTTCGACATCGTGTACTGGAATGAACGAATTTCTCTCACGAACCGAGCTACGGAAAAACTCCATTTATGCCACCCGTACCGCCGCGCCTTCCAAGTTTTTACCTCCGCTGTTTTTCCTTTTGAAGTTCGGATCTCCGAGAAAGTAGCAAAAAAAAGAATGAAAAATTGAAGCACGTTCGTAGCGAATGGCACAATGGCCTTAGAAGTTGCGGTTGATGCCGGAACGGGGCTGAAAAGCGCAAATCTCGAGCTCCCGCCTCGGCGGCCGGGAGGTTGGAAATGGGAAATGGGAAACGGGAGACGGAGAACAAACAAGGGAGACCGCAGGGAATCCGAATACAGGATACGTTCTAATAGAGTCGACTTCAATCTCTACCGGAAACGCTGAACTGGTTCAGGTCGGGGATGATGAACAAAATAGTAGTGCTGTTTCCTAGCTAACGGAGCTATAGAAGTACGTATAGCATTAAATCATTTCGTTGGAACACAAGAATAATGACATGATTCAAAAATTTCGATGACATCCATCTTATAGTTTCTTGCATTTTAATATTTTTTGGGAATAAACATTATTGTTTACCTCGGTATTTATCTTGTATTTAAGCAATAACAAGTTTGCTTTGATAATATTAAGAAAAAACTCAAAAATATTATATTTTCATCTCTCTTTTGAGTTATGCCGATCTTCCAGAAAAGTATATTTCACACCATATTGATAACACGAAAATTCATTTATTTGCATAAAAAAGTACATAGGATTTTGGAATTACATTTCTCCTAACAATGGCAGGTGTCCAGGCTTTTTAGCTGCTGTATAACTTATCAATTTTTAAAAATATGTTATTTAAAAATCCATAAATTTTCATAAAAAAATGCATAGAATTTTGGCATTATATTTCTCCTAACTATATGTGACCAGATTATTTAGCTGTTGCCCGTATTTTGCCACTATACAGCAAGGGCAGCTCCAGGCCAAATATTCGGGGAGGGTCATTAACAATAAAAATTCCCTTGCATATTTTTTTTAATAAAAGGCTCACGGAATGTAAAAATTTTATTCTAGGGGGGCAGGGCATCCCCTTCCTGGAGCCGCGCTTGCTATACAGTGTTCCAATGCATAATCCTGGTTATCGTTCATCATTCTTTACTTCGTAGGAAGTCTTATTAGTAACATTATAATTCGCAGCAGTCTGATCAGCTTTTGTCCTAGCCAATTTCATTATTAATTTGGTCCATCCAAACATGTTCAGTCTATAATTTATTATTAGAGATGTTAGGAAACAGAAATCATATAAAAATAATACTTTAAAA